CCAACCTCACCCCCACCCCCCAAAAAAAGATAAAGGTTAGGGGTCATCAGAAAAGCACCCTTAGCTTTTATATTTTCTTCTACAAAAAAAGAAAAAAGAAAAAAGAAAACACCGTAACAACGTTAACCACAATTTTCACTAGCAAAAATATTCCCCTGCATAATTTTACCTAACCATGTGAAAATCGCGGCTAATGCTGTTATGGGGTACTTCGACAAAATCTTTAAAGTAAAGGGCGTTTTCTGATAACCCCTAACTATGTAAAGGGGTGTCTTCAGATGTTTTGAAAGTTGTGGGGGTTTATCTAATAATCGTCTGAGTTTATATTTAGCCTAATTATTCATATACGTGCAATTTCTCAAAAAAATTACCAGGGAGAATGATTATTCATCACTTGACAACCTAACAATCAACATCATTTGTGCAATTTATGTTTCACATTTAGCTCCTATAGATAATTATTTACAATCCAGGGTGGTTTAGAGAATTTTCCGTCCTCTCCTTTTATTTTATTTTATTTTAATTTTTCTCTGCCTTGTTGCTGAACACAAACCCACCATTCACCATATCGACCCTTCCTAATTCTTCCCCAAAACCCCCCATGAACCTTCGTTGTGATACTTATTGAAGGGTTTCTAATTAAAATCAAGCCAGGATGTTTCATAGAAAAAATGGAGAATCATTTAAGATTGATTACCTCAAATTAGCGGACCTCCTCCAATTTCCTTCCCCCTCTTCTTCACTGCCCTGCTCTTCTAGCTTGCTAGTGGCATCACCTCCCCAAGGGATAAAGACACACGGACAACCCGCTTATAAAATGAATTAATTTCACAAAGGCCCCCAAACTTGTATAGGGTTAGAAGAGAACGCTCTTACTCTTCTATCTTACAACACCACCCCACCCACCCACCCACAAATAAGAAGAAGGAAAACCAACCTCACAAAAAAATAAAATAAAATAAAAATAAGAGTCTTTGGGTGTGTCACAAAACTTAAAATTTTTTGCATCAAACCCCAATCTGTAACTGGCAATAGCTAAAATCATTGAGAGAAAAAAAGCTCCATTTTAGACATTGCATTTAGAAGCAGTTTAACAATCTCCCCTTAATTAACTGTATTTCGCTTAAGGATATTTTAATTGTATGTTAATTACAAGTAAAGCGTTGACGATTAAAGTTTAGAGTTGAAGAGAGCTCTGTGAGACACCATAAAGTTTTGAAGGGGCTTAGACAAAAAGGTTCAAGGGTTTTAACTGCAAAATAACAAAAGTGTATCTGACTATCTCCCCAACATTTCACTATTTGCATGATGATTCCATTATCTTTAAAATGTGTAATATTGTTATACCATAAAATACACAAGTACTGACTTGCCTTTGATGTAATTCTAAAGAAGCTATAATACAAAAGAAACAAATGTTTTTGTTTTTATATAAACCTCTACATAAATGACCTACTAAAAAGATGGATTGATGGAAAGAGTCATCCTATTATTGTTGTGCGCAGCGGAAATTTCGGCAGAGTTTCTGGTGCACAATAAGAGAGAAAGATCGATATAAGAATTCCCGTCTCACCAAGGAGACAAGAATCTGAAGCGGATATCTCAACCAAGTGAGATATCGGCTCTTCCTCTCATCAGTTCTAGGACTGACCTGTCGAGGGATCCTAAAACTATTACAATTGCCACAAACTCAAACAAACCAATTTTACGTGGTTCGGCAAACTGCCTACGTCCACGGGGCAAGGAGGGGGAGATCTACTATTAGAGGGAGAGAATACAACTGGGTTTATAATCACTCAATCTAAACCCTCAAACAATCTCTCACACACACAAATATCTCTCTGAAAAAGCACACCTTGCTGACACAAAACCCTTCTGCCGAAAAAGTTCTCTCAGCCGAAAATAACTACAGCCGAAAAGTCCTCACCTTGCACTTCCGTAGCCCTGTAGCCTTGCACTTTTTCCTCTGCCCAAGCACGCCTCCAAGCCTGCTTCTCACGAACCCTAGGAACTCTATTTATAGAGGATATGCGGGCCAAAGATCACCCAGGAAACAAGGAAACCCGCTGCCAATCTTGTGGTCCCCACGTTGAAAACAAAGCCGTCTCCTGATAGCCTTATCTCTTCACGTGTTTTCCCTGCTACTCTTCACTTGGGAAAGGTGGACCCCACTTCATGTGCTCCAACAATTCTCCACCTCTGTGAAGTTTTTTTTTTTTCAAAACTGAGCCGACACCAACCAAAATAAATGTCTCACTTGTTGTGTCCAGTACACCGTGAAGCAATTCACGACAACAGACTCAATCCATAACAAGTCGAGAACCCAAATGAGAGTGCGAACACTCACCCAAACGTCGGTATCTACTCACCAAATCGATCTCACTCCCATTAAAATCCAACCCCGGCTGCATCGTAAAGACTGTCTACGTATCCTCTTGCCCAAGGAATCAAGCCGAACGTAGTTCACCCAAATGGCCGCGAACGACCTCAAACCAATAGAAGAGTTCGCAACCCTTCTCCAATATCATCAACTCTGCGGCTGATAGCACCTCCAATGGCCTCAAACAACTCCACCTGAGGTGAACCAATGGTCATATCCAAACTGTATCTATCAGTTGCACTCGAATCAAAACCCAACTCATCATCTGCATCCAAAACCAAATGATCTCCAAGCCGTGTCACCTCAGCTGGAATCCTAAATAATGCAGTATGATCTGGAGTAATCTTCACCCAATGTGGAGTAGTATCACTCTCCACCCGCTGCGATACCTCTAAGGTCTGTCCAAAACTCTCCACCTGCTGAGAGTCAATTGGCTTCCTCATCGAAGCCTCAACCAAAGTGACACTACCAGACCTATCTTCCAATGGAGTTTTACCTCCAATCACAGCAGTTGACAACTCTTTAATAGGATGACCCAAATATGTCGAAGCCTCTGTCCAGAAACTCTTCTGCAAACCATTGCTCAATCACAAACACCGATCCTCCTCCAGCAAGGCACGGTTCTCCAAATTTGTCACCTTATCTAGTTGCCCCAAGATTTCCTTTCCAACGAAGTATCTCGCAATGCCGTGAGCTCGGCTCCAATACAGAAATAGGTCCATCTTGTACCTCCCACCAGAATGGAGTACCTTCACCTTTCTGTCTATTACACACTTCTTTAATCTGTTAGAGACTACTAGGACTTTCTCCATCGGGGATTTGGTTGCAACCCAAACACGCCTAGAACAGCCACCAACAAAGGAAACCAAACGCCTATTACCTCCCAATAATGCCCCCTTGGAAGGCCCCCAAACATCCACGTGAACTCCTCCAGAACGACCCTTAGCACGGTGAATAGAGGTGCCACACTTCACCTCGGTCTTCTTGCTCACATCAACATGTTCACTGGACTTCAAACTGCAGGTCTTCGCACCCTCTTTCAATCTATGCGAGGAATTAATACTGGAATGGCCAAGCCCCAAATACCATTGTCTAGTCAAATCAACAGAAGTCGTCAGCTCTTCACCTGCCACTATACCTCCAGTCAAGTAATACAGGTTATTTCTCCTGACGCCCTTCATCAAAATACGAGAGTCTCTCGCAATCTCGAGAACCATGTCCTCAACACGAACCTTCAGACCCTCTCCAACCAAAGCTCCAATCGAGATCAAGTTCTTCCTCAAAGAAGGAACATATCTCACATCGTTTAACTCTCTAACAGTCCCGTCAAACATCTTTATGCGAATTCTTCCTATCCCAAGGATCTGGCATGCACGGTTATCAGCCATGTACACCACACCACTATCCACCAGCTTCTCAAAACTGGAGAACCATTCCCTTCTAGGGCACACATGATAGGTCGCACCACTATCCAACATCCATTCAGATTCCTCCGAATAGCTATCTGTAGGACTGATAGAAAGCGAATAAATAGAAGAGTCAGAATTATTACCATCCAATACGATATTTGCTTCTGATGATGGCTGCTTCCCTTTCCCATTCTGCTTATTCTTCATCCATTCGTCGAGCTTTGGGCAGTCTTTCTTCCAATGACCAGTCTCCTTGCACCAAGCACACTGATCTTTTCCAATTGTAGGATGCCCTACTCTAGAGTGTGACTTCCATTTCTTCCGGTTTGGATTCTTCCCTCTTGCGACCAACGCCTCTGCTACCGACTCAGTCGAATTCTCCTTATCCTTCTTCCGAAGCTGATAATTCACCAATGCAGCAGTGACCTCACTATACGAAAGTGATGCCTTCCCATTAATCAGAGTAAGAACGAAGGTCTCATATTCCTCGTCGGGCAAGGAACTCAACAACAGCAACGCCTTGTCCTCATCTTCAATCTTGACATCCACATTCGCCAAATCCGCAAGAAGCTTTGTGTAGTGGTTCATGTGATCTCTAATGGAGGTTCCCTTCTTCAACTGGAAACGATAAAGTCTCCTCTTCAAATGCAAGCGATTTTCCACACCACAAAAGATTCCACCTTTATCACCAAACGAAGCCTTAGACGAGCCTCCAAATTGATCTACTCCTCCAACCAAACCCTAGATCTAGAACCTGGTCTCTGATACCACTTGTTGTGCGCAGCGGAAATTTCGGCAGAGTTTCTGGTGCACAATAAGAGAGAAAGATCGATATAAGAATTCCCGTCTCACCAAGGAGACAAGAATCTGAAGCGGATATCTCAACCAAGTGAGATATCGGCTCTTCCTCTCATCAGTTCTAGGACTGACCTGTCGAGGGATCCTAAAACTATTACAATTGCCACAAACTCAAACAAACCAATTTTACGTGGTTCGGCAAACTGCCTACGTCCACGGGGCAAGGAGGGGGAGATCTACTATTAGAGGGAGAGAATACAACTGGGTTTACAATCACTCAATCTAAACCCTCAAACAATCTCTCACACACACAAATATCTCTCTGAAAAAGCACACCTTGCTGACACAAAACCCTTCTGCCGAAAAAGTTCTCTCAGCCGAAAATAACTACAGCCGAAAAGTCCTCACCTTGCACTTCCGTAGCCCTGTAGCCTTGCACTTTTTCCTCTGCCCAAGCACGCCTCCAAGCCTGCTTCTCACGAACCCTAGGAACTCTATTTATAGAGGATATGCGGGCCAAAGATCACCCAGGAAACAAGGAAACCAGCTGCCAATCTTGTGGTCCCCACGTTGAAAACAAAGCCGTCTCCTGATAGCCTTATCTCTTCACGTGTTTTCCCTGCTACTCTTCACTTGGGAAAGGTGGACCCCACTTCATGTGCTCCAACAATTATTTCCCACTACACAATGTAAGTTAAAAAATTATACTAACTTACGAAATAAATGAATGGGCATCAAATCAATACTAGTGACGGAATTACTTACTATGATTTATACATCATCAAATCTATGAGGGAAAATATCAGGTGGTAAAATATTTTATCTTATAAATCAAGCAACTCAAAATAAATGACTTTACCGATTCTAAGCCAACTGTTTTTGGTTTCATGGGATGTTTACGCAAAAAGTTTAAATCTATATGTTATTGTACCCTTCGATTCTAGAATATACGTAGATCTTATACGTAATAAACTATAGGGCAAACATCACAGAAGCCCATTAACATCAGACGATTA